TGGTGGGGGGGCAACAGTGGGAGGGCTTCTGGAGTTCTGGCCCCACTGGTGGACCTCCTGATGGCACCTGGTACTTTGGGCCACTGTGTGACACAGAGTGTTGGACTGGATGGGCCATTGGCCTGATCCAACATTGGCTTCTCTTATGTTCTTATGTAACTCTGTTTAGGATTTCACTAAAAGAATCCTGGTTTGTAAGTCAAAAATCAACTACAGTTGGCCAAAGCTTCCAGTTGAGACATCATAACAAACTGTCTTGCCTTTCAAACTTGGAAATATTTAATATTGGCTCCACACATGAAGGGATGAGGGAAGGAGAAAGAATTCAAGAACCCAAAGGTGTGACATGGATATGCTGTGAGAGATTCAAAGCAGTACCTGAGAAGAGTATTAATTATATACCTGCCGTTGATTGTAGACAAGGATTGCTAATGTGTTTCTGAGAGACCAAATGAGAGAGGGAGACAGACAGAGGTTCTTCTTTTGGCAGCTCCACCAGAGGCAAGGATTACAGACATTTCAATTCAATTTATTACAGGTCTTTATGACCGAAGTCTTGACCAAGAGGATACCAAAGGGGGGTAAAATAGGTACATAAAATAGACATAAATATGTCAAGGTACATAATAACAGTCACATAAAACCCAGGCTGAGCCCAGAGATTAAAAATTACCTAACTACACTTGGAGCGGAGCCAACTAACTAAAATCATCCGAAGATTAAAAATCGGTGTCGAAGTTTTCAGAAGTGCTGGACTTTTCAATGCTTCTTGAGAGCAGCCACCTTAGCCAAGAACCGCGCCACGTTAGCTGTTATCAGTCCATCGGCATTTGAGTCAGATAACAGTACTGAGAGCACCCAAGGTTGCGCGGGAAGATTCATCTTCGTGAGAATAGGAGAGATATAAGTGCCTCTAACTTGAGTCCAGTGGGGACAGCGAAATATCAGGTGATCTAAGGTTTCAATTTCATATCAAATGTGGACAGCCTGATGCTGAGAGCTATCGGCAGAATGGCAGCACTGCCAGTCTATCAAATGTGGACAGCCTGATTCTGAGGGCTATCGGCAGAATGGCAGCACTGCCAGTCAATCCCCTAAACAGAGCTGCCAAGTTCCAGAGGGCACCTGGAGATCTCCTGCTATTACGACTGATCTCAAGATGGCCAAACCAGTTCCCCTGGAGAAATGGCTGCTTTGGAGAATGGACTCTGTAGTATTATACCGTGCGGAATTCCCTCCCTTTTCCAAACCCAGCCTTTCCCAGGCTCCACCTCCCAAATCCCCAGGTGTTTCCCAACCCAGAGCTGGCAACCCTACCCCTTAGGGTTTTGCTCCAGCACTATCACCACACCGTGGGATCCACTGGTGGAACTCAGGAATATGTCAGTGTAACTCCAAGATATACTAATGTAATCCTTCATCAGGTCCCTGAGTACTTTCAGAACCTGGCCTTCAGATTGCTCTGAGTATATGACCACATGGGAGAAGGAGAAAAATCTAGACCTATACCACAGAAGCTCTGCAGGATGCTTCTGGGAAGCTGCCTGCCTTTGGTTTCTTGATGGGAGCAAGGAAACGCAAAGTGAGAGCAAATGGGCCCCAAACCCTTTATGGCTTTATCAATTATACAAGACATCCTCCATCCCTCCGAGAAATAAACAAGCACCCTACACAAGTACAAGCTTGTTGTTGACTGGTGTGACTTTATTGGCTTTGCTGTGCCTCCACAGCGCCTGGCTGGCTGCCGCCTCTGTGAGCACGGCCTAATATGCAAAAAGCCTGGAATAATGTGATCCACACTCCAAGTGCTCAAATGAGACACGGCGTTCATTTCCCTACTGACGTACATCTAACAAACTCTTTAGTTCCTATTCTGTGTCCATTTAGGAAAGCAAAAGAGGGGTTCTGTTTGTTCAGCCTGGTTTTGTTTCGAGTGGTGGGCACCGGTCCTAGTGTCTGTGTTCCCGTTATCTTGTAAAAAGCTGGTCATCTGCTCTCAGATTGGAACTGAGAGAAACCCGAGGCTACAGATGCCCAATGTGCAGCCCACAGGCCAACTGTGGCCTGCCTTATCTGAGACGCAGCCCACCTGGAATTTTTAGCAAACTTTTTTTAAGCTGTTTCAGTTTGATTCCAGTACAATTATACCTTGAAACTGGGTCATTATGAAGAATGAGTGACAAGACAGCCAGTGTCGTGTACTGGTTAAGAGTGTCAGACTAGTATCTGGGAGACCCAGGTTCAAATCCACTCTTGTGCCATGGAAGCTTGCTGGGTGACCTTTGGCCAGTCACACACTCAGTCTAATCTACCTCACAGGACTGCTGTAAGGATGAAATGGGGGAGAGCATGATGTAAGCCACTTTAGGTCCCCATTGATATAAATGTATTAAATGAAAAAATAAAATAAATAAAAAGAAAAATTGGTATGAATAAAGTCTCTGATACTGTCTGGACCAAGGACAGTCCCTCTCCCGCTCTCAGGCACTGAACTCACAGCCACCTGGGGGCCTTGGGGTTCTCACCAGGTCCTGGTCCTTTGTTAAGGCTCTTTGCTTCTGGGTTCCCTTCAAGGATGTAAGCAGACACTCAGCAAATACTCCCAACGCAGATTAAAAGTCGCTTCTGCCTTTATCCAATCATTCAAGCAATAAAGAGGAAACACTCTTAAAACTCGACAATGGCAAAAAAAAATCCCAACTACTTGTGCTGGGCAGAGGCTAAATCTCTGAGACATCAAATACTTGCAGGCTTCCCTCTGCTGGGTAATCATGCCACCAGTCACCAAGGCCTTGATGTATGTACCTACTCTCTGGTATCACCCCCGCCTCCCTCTAGATAGCTGACCACCAGATAAGGCCCCCAGGTGCTTTTAATTAACTAGGGAAAAGGCCCGTTGTGGAAATAAATACAACGGCCTCTAGAAAGAGGCTCTGGGCGGGTGCCCCGGCCTTGGACACTCAGTGTCAATTTGCTGTGGCGACCTCAGCAGGGTATAATGACACTGAGTCCACCATTTTCTCCAGAGGAACTGATCTCTGCTACCTAAAGAACAGTTGTAATTTTGAGTGATCTCCAGCCCTCACCTGGAGATTAGTAATTATGGTTCCCCAGAAGGGAATGGTTGGTTTGGAGGGTGGAGTACCTGTACGAGGTCCCACGCCTCCTGAAACCCCACCCTCTCCAGGCTCCATCCCTCACATCTCCAGGAATTTCCCACCTGGAGTTGGCAACCCTATCTCCTTCCCAGCCAATCATCAACCT